GCAACAACCAACAAAGTCCCATACCTGAATGCATTTTCATGACGGACTATTTCACCATCGATGATAACACAGGATATGTTGATCATTCTGGCAACAACCAACAAAGTCCCATACCTGAATGCATTTTCATGACGGACTATTTCACCATCGATGATAACACAGGATATGTTGATCATTCTGGCAACAACCAACAAAGTCCCATACCTGAATGCATTTCCATGACGGACAATGTCACCACAGATGATAACACAGGATATGTTGATCATTCTAGCAACAACCAACAAAGTCCCATACCTGAATGCATTTTCATGAAGGACAATGTCACTACCAATTCTTCAGCCAAGCAACAAGAAGCTGACCAGATAATGGAGCTTCAGGACCACCCAGTACCAGATCCTGATCAGAAAAGGCAGAAAAGAGGGTATCAGCCTCCTGTACCAGATGCTCAACTGGAAGACCACCACATGCAACCACTGAATCATGAAGATGGAACTGATGATGGATCAGGAAGCTCTTCTCAAGTCAGTAATAATTATGAGCAAAGTAAGTCTTCTTTTGTTTTCAATTTTGAATTTGATAATGTACCTCAATGTTTTGAATCCTTTTCATGTTTTATTCTTGTTAACATCTGTTATTATACAAATTGGTATTCTTAGAAAAACAGATGCCTAAACAGCATTCCATTGAAGATTCTGGGAGAAGTCCCTTAGGAATAAATTCGGAAAAATTAATTTCCGACCTCGCTGGGATTCGAACCCACGACCTTCGGATTTGTACACCGATGCTCTACCAGCTGAGCTACAAAGCCAGACTGGGAGCAGGTCGGGGTGAAATAGATGTTAAGGTTGCGGTAAGGTCGGAAATTAATTTTTCCGAATTTATTCCTAAGGGACTTCTCCCGGAATTGCCTCCTTCTAAGCACTATAACTTTCTTTCATTTCTATATCGTGTTTATCATAGTGCCATGCGGTCTTCATATTCATTCCATTGAAGAACTCAAGAATGGAGTCCACAAAAAGTTTTTAATTGACAAGCGAGACTTGACTTGGAAAAACAAACTTGGAGAGGTAAACTATGCATTATACTACTTCTCCTAAAATTTTCATGAAATATTTATAGATATGATGATATATTGTTAGGGCCAGTTTGGAATTGTATATGAAGGAATCTGGTCTAAAGTAGAACTGGGAACCGTCGTGCCCAAGGTGAGTAAGCACACCAGCTGTTATTTTTTAACAAACAGGTCTATTTTTCCATGCATCTATACATAGCAGCTGATGTCAAAATGTGAACCTAAAAGCATGTCACAAGACAAAGTTGAGCCAGCAAAATACTTTCTTTATACAATTAAAAAAAAAAAATTGGTCAAATTCCCCACCATATGGGCAAAATTGACAGTTAAATGCCCTCACTCATAAAAGCAAATGAGTGGTCAAATGCCCGCCCCATAAGTCAGTTTTTTTACGCTAGTTTTCGAGTGTTTTTGTTGCTTTTTATATCGTGATTTCTCATCGTGAAAGTACAAAAGATCGAGAATGTTCCCAAAAATGATTGTAAGCCTCGTGGCTGCTAATAGCGATCTGTGATCATGTGAAGCGCCTTTGAACTGTAAGGATATTATCGGCGCTATATAAATAATACGTATTATTATTATTAAAATGCTTAGGTTCCCAAGATATTTTTATTTTTAATTTAAGCTTAAAAAGTTCGTATTGTGTCATGAAATATCGGTTTCGCATCATAAGTCGTGTCAAATGCCCGGGGTTTGCCCGGGGGGGGGAATGGGCACCTTTGGAATTGACTCATACATAACTCTGCTTTGTTTATGGTCCATTTTTAGAATGGAATTACAAGGTCCTAATAACCCTCGTTTTCTCTATTTATCTCTCTCTATGTACTCTATTTCCAAAATAATGAGACTTCGAATTACACTCTGTCTTATGTCCTAGTATTCTAGATCTCTATGTTTCTATTAAGTCTCTTATGCCTGAGTCACATGCAGTCCTAGACTGTGTATTTTTAGTAGTGCTTGGATGTCAATTTTTTTAATTTTTTTCCTTTAAAATAACTTAATTTAGTACTTAAGAGAATAATTGTCTGGCTGGCTGTTTGACTTAGATGGCAAAGTTACTTTCTCACTTAGACATCAACACTGACTTGTCTGGTTTACTGATTGACTTAGTGTCCATCTAACTGACTTAGGCAGCAAAGTTTCTTGTTTACTATCGACTTAGACGGCAAAGTGTCTGGTTTACTGGTCGACTTAGACGGCAAAGTGACTGGTTTACTGGTTGACTTAGACAGCAAAGTTCCTAGCTGTTTGACTTAGACGGCCAATTTAATGTTTAAATTATTTACTTAGACAGCAATTATTGTGGCTAACTGCTCGACTTAGACAACAGTATGTCTAATTAACTGATTGACTTAGACAACAAAATTTACCTTTTTCCCCTTAGAAAAAAAGGGTTGCCATGAAAGAACTGCGCAGAACAGCAGATGATAAAAGTCAAGAAGACTTCATCAAGGAGGCCATCAATATGTCAAAGTTAGCAGTTCAAATCAGCAGCAAGCACATCATAAAATTTATTGGCATTTGTTTAGGTAAAGGAATGTCATAACAAGCCGCAAGCTCGTTTTTATTGCGATCAGTGTGATACCAGCGTTGCCATAGTAAAGCTACTTAGTGGTTACAATGTGTGCATWAGTAAGTGTGAATCCCGCAGAGGGGATGACAGCCTTCAGAGGTCATGGGTCGCGTGTTTGATGACTAATTCTGTGATCTAAGGGATTTTCGTCAAACGGCATTTGTAGCATTCAAGACGCTCGGTTTTTTAAGACAGGTAATCGCACCTCCTTTCCATCGGTTCTTTCATAAAGCACCTTTGACGTGTCRAAACGTTTTGTTGGGTGCAATCTTTTGAAGTGCTTAGTAAGCGATTGATTTGTCTTAAAATGTTTGCTACAGACATAGCACTCCACATAAAAAGTTGTTTTGGACATCGTGGACTTAACCGTRAGCTACATCACCAACACCGGAAATGTAAACGCTTAGGTGGTCAAACCACGTCATACGGTTATGTAACTTATCGATGCGCAAACCAACATTTTAAACGATCGGTGTTTATTAAAAGTTTTGCTACTAAGATAGTAATTCGCATAAAAAGTAATTTTAGACATCGTTTTCAGCGTTTGAATATACAAGGTATTTTTGAGCTCGATCATGAAGACTAGAATGTAATAACCCTTACTGTTTGCAACTCGAGGTCAAGCCACGTCACGTCATCGGTTATATATTATCAATWCGCAACCTGAATGTTTGAAAAATACTGTTACTGTAAATCCGAAACTGCACTACTGTTTCTTTTTATCATCATAACTGCTACGTTTAGCTTTAATATAGTTCTAGGCACAACTCTGTTGGGGCGGGGAATTTCGTAAAGTTTGAAACTATAATTTGAAGTTTGAAACGAAATGAAACTGACCGATCAAGAGTTCACTAYATYCATATGATTATTATSATTTTTCTTATCAATGTTATAAATATTGATATTCAAAAACARCATGAATAAGAAAGCACAATAAATCACGGACATTATAATAGCTTGGGCACATACTGTGTGTCACTTTGATAGGTCTGTCATAAGTCTAACGCCTCGCCCATCCTTAATCCGCCACAAATATGTAGGAAGAGAGGATTTCAATTCCCCTCTTCGCAATAAAAACGAGCTTGCGGCTTGTTATGGTCATGAGCCAGACCCCATACCTTAACCCTCTTCCCCTAGGTCTTTCTTATGAAAGAGCATACATTTTTAACGTCTGAAACTTCAACATTTTTAGTGCAATACTCCTCTCCTTGATGAGGCTATTCTAAAGTTTTCATTGATATCCTGAATAGAAGTATATTATATGCATGGCTTCCACTGCTAATGATTCACCCCTTTTTGGAAATTATGAGAATACCTCTTAAATACCTGAAAATATGAGATGGCCATAATTTCAAAGCATTCATGTTATTTCCAACATGTATGTATAATTATAATTTAAAATTATCATAATTTTTGAAAGAATTACCCATGTAGATTATATAAAGGATGTATAAATAGATATTTCAATCTGTCAATCTTTTCAACAGATGAAAATGAAGATATATCTAAACTTATGATCATAACTGAATTGGCTCCATTTGGAAATTTGAAACTCTATCTCAATAAAGTCAAAGAAGTAAGTGAATCTCAATATCTTGTTACATTTTATTGATGGGTATACAACTGAGAAATGTTCATCTTTCAGAAAGGAGATACCTTCAAACTGTCTGTTTTAGTTGATTTCTGTGTGCAGATCTGCAATGGCATGGCAGATTTGGTAAGCATCAACTTAAATTAAAATGTTTGGTTTGTTGAATTATACTTTTAGGACCATGTTCAATGGAAAGGTGGTGATAATAAGTTGTAGACGGCTTGCAATCCAAGACCAACTGAACTCCAAACTAGACACATAGCTGCGTGAACTCGGGGTTATTGTTGATAAAGATCTAGTAGTGAATCCGCAATATAAATATTCAGCATAAATTGTTATATTCGATAAAGTTTGCATACTTTTGTAGTTTCTTTGGTAAGGCTCATTTACAGTTGCGAATGTTGCAGTGTATCATAGTACGGCTAAGAGAAAACTCTACTACTTTGCATAGCAGGCATTGCATAGTACCAATAAATATCACCCTTTACTCGTGAAGTTTATCTTTTGTATAATTATCGAATTAATTTTGCCATTATTATTATTTTTTGACATCTTTTCAGTTTGTATAATTATTTAAATTTTTGGCTGCAAGCCGCGTCCTCACTTTGATAGCAGGGGATAGCAGTCACATGGCAGGCTTTAAACACAGAGTTTTTTATCTTCTCCGCAAAATAAAATACTTCCAATTGTCAGTTTGTCCTCAGTGGAATTCTTTTATTTATTTTAACACTCCCAACCATAAGGACAGCACATGGAAGTTGTGAAATGTCATAGGTAATTTAATATAACATTCGTACCCAGTACCTTCTAGTTTGGCCGAGGACAATTGTGACCCAAGACGATGACCATGGTGAAAAAGACAGCCGAAATTTAAACTCGGGATTCCTTTGCAACTCCAAGTAATAACTTGAAGAAGATGATCCAATCAAGATGAACCAAGCAGACAGAGTTGAATCAGTTAATTTGATATCATAATATAACAATTCACTGTATTTATTATTTTTATTCTTTTTTTAAGGAAAGTAACAATGTTTTGCACAGAGATATTGCTTTAAGAAACATCCTTGTTGCATCAGAAGATCCATATCTGATTAAGATTAGTGACTTTGGACTTGCACGACTCAGTGAATATTACAAGTGTGAACGAGGCAGATTTCCTTTAAAATGGTAGGAACATAAATACAGCATTTGAAAGTTACTTGAAATAGCTCATATACTAACAACACCAGACTCCTTTTGCTTGTTTTCTTTTGTCTGTGGTTGTCAATTGTTATCAAAAATATATTTACTTCAATTTAAGAAAAACTCTAAAGGCTCGTCTACACTAATACAGCACATACAGCCCTTCGATTGCTGCAGCCATTGCGCGATTTCATCACAAATTGATCAATAGTGTCATTTGAAAGCTCACTTGCAAATTTTCTTAAGTCTGGTAGGGGTGGCAAATTTTAATTATTATTATTATTTAAATAAATCACCACTGTAAATTACATCACTGAGTTTTTCCTTCTTTTTGTAAGGTATGCACCAGAGAGTATTACTTACCACAGGTTTACTTCTAAAAGTGATGTGTGGAGTTTTGGTGTAGCTATGTGGGAAGTGTTTTCCTATGGAGCTCAGCCATATCCAGAAATAAAAGATTGTAAAATGGTGTGTGCAATCTTGGAAATTTTGTCATTATTTTCTTTCCATTTTACTGATTATGTGCATGTAACTCTGGTATTTTTAGATCATCTATCACATATGCAAAGGCAACAGACTCCCTAAACCTGTCAACTGCCCAGATGACATTTATAATATCATGAAGCAATGTTGGGATTATGACCCTAAATCAAGACCCTCATTTTATGAGCTATCAAGCAGCTTGTTGGATGATATCAAGAACAAGTACTGCAAACAAGAACAGTAATTAATTGAAGGCTCTCAAAAAGCACCCAAAGTCCCTTGTAGACCTTGTATTTATAGCAGAATATTTTTTCTACTAAATGCAGTATTTGTTTGGTTTTGACATTAATGAAGTTTTAATATCATTGTGGCAAATACATGTTCCGTGTGACACAGGAACTAGTTTGTATATCCCAAAAATCGTTTACTCAGTAATCACAACTAAATAGTTGTACTCAAATATCAACTTTCATGTGTAAATATGTAGTATTTTTCTTAGCAGTCTCGCAAATCATTAAAAAAATGAAAACACTTTCTGTAAATTGAACAAGGAATGTGACTATATCTATGTAGTACTGGCGATTTCAACTTCAAACGCATTGTTTAAAAAAGGCATCCATATTTTTCAGATGAGATTTAATATGTTTAGTCCTATGAATAATTGTTCTTCTGTAAATGTATGAACCTTATATATCCATACAATTTGTTATTTTTGAAGATTTGTGATTGTTTGGCATCGAACGCTCGTTGTGCTTGTGTTGGTGGTAGAAAATGTAAAATTTCTGCATAAATCAGCCAATAATCTTGAATTATATATACCTCCTTTCATGGCCATTGGATAATAATCAGTTGTTTTGTGCATATTAAAGGGGTTCTGTTGATCATAAGTGAAAAAATGCGTTTTTTTATTGACCATCACAATTGAGAACGAATTATAGTGAATTTGAAAATCAAAATTGGTTAAAATCATTTTTAATTTTTCATAAGATATTAAATATTATTCCACAAATTTAAATATATAATCTCAATTGCATTTTTATGTTTTTTTCTGTAAACCTTACTTCTATGATGTGACCTTTTCGAACACGACTAGTGTTTAACTCCATGCCTCTTGAATCAAACTTATATATCGTCGTTTTTAATTGAAATACTAATTAATTCATAATATTGTATTAATAAATTATTTAACTCTGAAATCACAATATTATTGATATTGAACAAAACCAACACTGACTCACTGGACAGTCAGATATTTTGTGGAACAAAGTATAAATTAAGCTTTTTGCAGTAACCATGATAAAGCTCTTTGACAGCCAACTGTATAGTGCCTCTTTGAAAGTCTTT